TAACTTCTTTTTTTATATAGTAGAAGAAGTAGATTCCATCGACTAGAGAAATTATCTCCATTGTGGTATCGAAGGCAAAGTCATTCACTAACTTTATTTTGCATGAATCTCAAAATTGTTAAAATTATATCGATTAATATAATTACAATATGTGCGCACGCGAGTGAGAGTAAGATGAGCACATCCTCAATTGATTAATATTTTAACTTAACACTCGTAGTGATATAAGTGGAGCTACTTGGAGATAATTCGAGTAAGATGAAGTCTGAGTAATGCAAATTAATGTTGAAAATATATTCAAAAACAAGAAGCCTTATATTTCATTAGGTAGGATCAGCTATATGAATTGCACAACATTATTGTATTCTAATGGTAACCAAATCTTTAGGTATGTTATTAACTAAAAGATCTAGTTCAAAAAGATAAATGTTTCTCTCTATGATCTTTCTCTATCCCTTCAAAAAAACTCAACACCTCCAGCTATCTTTTTTGTTCATGTTCAAACTACCTAAAATAATTTTTTATCATTTTCTCCCCAATTGACTCATAATTGAGAGAAGATTTTTAATTAGGTTTAATGAAGTTGGAAATAATTAGTTAATGCATCAAAATAACCTCTCCAATGGCTTATAATCTGGACCAAATAAATCATCCCTCAAGTATCATATATTTAAGAATGGATGGAGTAGTTTCTCTTTCTTTTTATTCGACACATGGATTTTGCAGGATATAGCATATTTATTATTTAATTTGATGTTGTGCCGGGTGTGTGTAGGCGCGTGTGCAGAATAAAAGAAAAATTCCAGTACATATATTTTCCGATTGTTTCTTACCAACTTTTTAAATTTTATAAAAATTAATGATCAACTTACCAATTGAATGAGATTATTCAAATTTTAGAATTATTATTATTAATTATAGTTAAGGGCATCAGACATTCAATGCTTTGCTGATAATCATTCTAGATGTGATGTTAATTTAAATATATATTAACAAAAAAAGGTGTGTTTGCATTTCTTCATCCATCAAACCTTATCCTCCATATTACATGTACATGTGGTCAGTAAAATTTGTTACTATGGGACCTAGTTTGAAAATTATTTATTGGATGACTCTACAAACCGTTATTCACGGCACAATAATTCATCTATACATATCATAATATGCCATTCACTAATTTTATTTTGCATGATTCTCAAAGTTGTTCAATTAATTACATCAAATAATATAATCACAATGCATCCACGCATGAGGGAGTGATCAGGGAGAGTGAGACACACTCACTAATCCATAATTGATTATTGTTTTAACTCAACACTCATGTATAGTAGTGTTACTTGGAGATAATTCAAGCTAAGTAAGCTGAAGTCGGAGTAATGTAATTAAGTTTTATTTTCAGTTTTTTTGGTTTGTGTCAAAATTTTAATGCGAAAGAGAATTTTTTTCTTTCTTCTTCTGTACGTGTTATTTACTTCGAGTGGATGAAGTTTTAATGCAAAAGACAATTTTACTTTGGGTTTTTCTTTCCAAGTCAAGTGAAAAAATAGAAGCTATCCAATTTGTAGGCATCTGCATTAAAATGATTTTGAAATTGTAAAATTTATCCACAATATGTGGACAGCAAAAGCTTGTAAAATGGTTTGTTTAATATTTGTCCATATTATAGCGAAGACTGTTCTTTTCTTTTGTTTTTTTTTTTTTTGGGTTATGATAGCGAAGACTTTGAAGTGAAGGAAGAAAGAGCTGCCAAATTTCGTTGATTCTTTCTTTTATTATTTTCTTTAATTTTCAGTCATTTATGTGATAATGTGAATTGACGGTTCTTCAGAAAAAGAAAAAAGAAAAAAGAAATTTGTCTTCATCAAGTATTTAATTATATAAATAAATCCATGCCTGCTTTTTTTTTTTTGGTTCTTCAAACACATAAGAGTGTGTTGTTTTTCAAAAAGAGAAGTTTCGATAATAATTAATTTTACTAAAATTGAAGAAAGGTCAATATATTTTAATTTCACCCATATATAATAACAGTAACATTTGAGTTAAAATAAAATCGTGTTGATTAGGTTGTTAAAAAATCTGTTAAGGAGCGTCATTTGAAAAAGTAAAGATAAGATTAACCAACATTATTATTTGCTCAGCTTAATTAGATATCTCATATATATCTATACCGTGTTATTTACTTTGAATGAGTGAATGAGATTCTTTAATTTCTTTTCAAGCCCATCTTGATATAAGGAACAATCTTCTTTTATATATGAATTACGTATACAAAATATTTTCCAAGTCAACTGAAAAAGAAATTAAAGTAATCCAATTCCCGTTTTGGAGGATACGAGCTAAATCTAATTACCGAACATGAGAATGCTTTGATATTTATATTGATATATTTGTAAATATTTTTACACCTTACCCTTAATTTTTCTTTCTCTGATAAAACTCCTATTTGGGGAAAGGTTATATTTATGCAATAACAATACTTTCTCTGATATAACAATATTTTTTTTCCAGTTTTCTCTTCTCTTTACTTTTTTTCCTTTTATTTTCTTTCTTGTTAATTTTTCTTTCCATCCAAACGGTGGGTAAAAGAAGAAGTAGTAGTGTTAGAGTTTAAAATAAATCTTAAAGAAATTTATTATTTTATGTTGTACTGACCGTGTGCGTGTGCGTGCAGAGGAAAAGAAAAACATAAAGAAAATTTTGATAAATATACTTTTACCCCTATAACTTTATACACTATTTTATTTTGAAACTTTAATTCTATAAAGTGTATTTTCAGTTGAGAAAACACAATTATTAGTCTCTATAATTTTATTATGTTTACAAAAGTCTCTATAATTTGTTTTCATTCTTTATAATTCCTATAATTTAACATCGTTATAACTTGACAAAAAATGTTACCCAATTTTATTGAAACTATAGTGACTGAAAAGAATGAAAAGAAGATACATGGACTAAAACCAAGATCTAATGAAATTATAGGGACCAATAATAATATTTTCTTTTTCAGTCTTTTAACATTAACACTGTTAATTTCATCACAAAAACAAGTTATATTGAACTTTTAAATATTAAAAAAACATTATCAAATATTAATTTATTAAGTTCAATTTTTTTTAAAATAACAATGATTGGTACGAAAAAATCATTTAAAACTAATAGTCTTAGAGTTAAAAGACTCAAATATATCTTATAAAATTAAGGGACTAAATTAAAACCTTATATAAAGTTAGAGGACCAAAATTACACTTTAACCAAAAAAATTCCAATACATATGATGGCGGGTCTCCAAGCATTAGAAACATTTTTTCATATTGTCCGGTTGTTTCTTACCAACTTTTAAATTTATAAAAATTAATAATCAAATTACCGAGTGAATGAGATTATTCAAATTTTATATTTATTATTATCACTACTACTACTACTACTATTATTATAGCTAGAGCACCAGACATTCAATGCTTTGTTGATAATTATTCTAGATATGTTGTTAATTTAAATATATATCAACAAAAAAAGTGTCTTTGCATTTGTTCACCTGTCAAACCTTATCATAAAATGTCACTCACTAACTTCATTTTGCATGAATCTTAAAATTGTTCAATTAATTATATTCAATAATAAAATCACAATACGCGTTGAGTTAGTAAGTGAGAATAAGACACACACACTAATCCACAATTGATTAATATTTTAACTTAAAACTCATCGTAGAGTTCCTTTGAGATAATTCAAGCTAAGTAAGCTGAAGTTGGAGAAATGTAAATATGCTTTATTTTAAGTTTTTGTGGTTTGTGTCAATATTTAAATATAAAATGGAGTAAATTGATAGATTTTTTTACCAGTTATAGGGTATATTTAAATGTTAACAAAAGTTTTTCTTCCTTTTTCTATATGGTGTCATAAGCCTATAACTTAGATATGTCATATATTTCTACACCATGTCATTTACTTTTCATGAGTGGATGAGATTATAATAAACAATCTTCTTTTGGACATAGATTATGCACATGAAATATTTTCCAAGTCGTCAATAAAAAATAAGAAATATTTTCTAAGTGATCAACTGAAAATTAAATTGAAGTTATTTATTTGTTGTATTTAATATTTATATTAATACCAAAGAATTTGAAGTCAAGTGAAAAATATATAATTTAGGGCCAAAAAAATTATTTATACGAATGTGTTTATCGCTATATTAAATCATCAACAGATTTTTTTTTTTGGGTCAAACAACAGAAAGCGTGTTAGAATCATGCCTTTTACTTTTTTTTGCCATCAGAATCATGCCTTTTACGTTTTCCTTTTTTATTGCTTCGTTTTCCTTAAAAACAAATAATTTACGGTACATATTAAGCACACATGCACTGTCAGCGTCATGCTTTTTCCACGTTCTTAAACGAATTTTTATCATTTTAAGATATTAGTTAATGAAAAATTACCCTCGTCATGAACTTATATTTTAATATGTTGCAAATTAAGAAATAAAGAATATGAGATGAATTTAAAATTTTTGCAAAGAGTAACAGCTTCTTTTGTTCTTTAATCAACTAACACACTCATAAACCAAAATTGGAATTCATTTATTTTAAACAAGTCAAGCAATAATGCGTATGCAAATTCCAGATGTGGCCCGCCGTACAATCTCATCCTCATATAAACAGAGCACTGATAAGAAAAAAGTACAGATAAATTTTTGTTCAATAATCAATCTTATAGTTTAAGGATAAGCCAATTTAATTTGCAATAGACACACCTAATTTTGTTATTAAAAGCATAAAAAGAAAAAATATTTTAGACATTTTACTATTTTAGTTTCGTTGAGATTTCAAAAATTCAAAAGACAAAAAATGAGACACACTAACTATGGGCTTAGGGGTTTCTTTGGTAAGGAAAAGTCTTGACGTAGGTCCCTCCCACCATTACGAGACTCCGTCTATAAATGAAGCTTCATCTTGTAGATGCCAAAAGGACCATATCCATCATTTGCTCAACCATCCCTTCCTAGCTACTTGAGTTATGGCATTTGCAATGATGCTCTGTTTCTACTTGTTCTTTCTTTCTCCTTCCCTTTCTTCTCCTCTCAACCCTCCAATTTGCAATTCTCATGACTCCTCTGCCCTTCTCCAATTCAAACACTCTTTCTCTCTCAATCATTCCGCTTCAATTATGTGTGATGAGTATTTTGATGACTCTTTCCTGTATACTGTTCACTTTAAGAACTCATCTTACCCAAAGACGGCTTCATGGGGGAATGATTCAAATTGTTGCTTGTGGGTAGGGGCCATGTGTGACTCCATGTTAGGCCACGTGATTGGCCTTGATCTCAGTTGTAGCTGGCTTCAAGGTCAACTCCATCCTAACAATACCCTCTTCCAACTTTCTCATCTTCAAATACTCAACTTGGCTTACAATGATTTTAGTGGGTCCTTGATATCATCTCAGTTTGGTGAGCTTTCCACTCTCACTCATCTCAATTTAAGCAGCTCTGCTTTTACTGGTGAAATTCCTTTTGAAATTGCATATTTGTCTAAATTGGTCTCTCTTGATTTGTCTTTGAATGGATTTTACTCATTTGATGAGAAGTGGAGTCCTTTGAGACTTGAACCATCCACATGGGAGAAGCTCATTCTAAATATGACTGATCTACGAGAACTTGCTTTAAATTATGTAAATATGTCTTCTATTTCACCAAGCTCCTTATCTTTACTCATGAATTTGTCATCTTCTTTGATCTCCCTTAAACTTCATTATACTGAGTTGCAGGGAAATATTACAAGTGACATTTTTTGTCTTAAAAATCTTCAGAAACTAGATTTGTCAGGAAATATAAATCTCAATGGTCAACTTCCAAGGTCTAATTGGAGCTCTCCTCTTTCACTCTTAGATCTAGAAGGCTGTGGATTTGGAGGGCCAATTCCTTTGTGTTTCGGGAACCTCACTCAACTAATTGATTTGAACCTTGGTTCAAACAAATTTAGTGGTGAGATCTCATTCCTTTCAAACCTTGTACATCTCACTTCCTTACGACTAAGTGATAATAATTTTTTTGGTGAAATACCTTCCAAAATCTCACAATTGTGTAAATTGGTCTTACTTGACTTGTCAAGTTTTATTACATTGAGGAGTACCTTGAGACTTGAACATTCTACATTTGAAAAGCTAATTCTAAACATGACTAATTTAAGGAGGCTTTATTTAGATAGTGTTAATATGTCCTCTGTTACACCAAGGTCCTTGTCTTCGCTCATGAATTTATCTTCCCCTTTGAACTCTCTTTTTCTTGGAAATACTTCTTTGCAAGGTAACTTCCCAAATAGCGTCTTCCATTTAGAAAACCTTGAACGTCTAGATTTGGCATTGAATATGAATTTGAAGGTTCAACTTCCAAAGTCCAACTTGAGCTCTTCTCTACGATTTTTTAGTCTCATTGGCATACCTTTCTTCGGAAAGTTACCTGATTCCATCAGTCAGTTGAAGTCTCTTGAATATTTGGATTTGACATTTTGCCAATTTGAAGGGACTATTCCTCCAGGTTTCAAAAATCTCACTCAACTCATTGATTTACGTCTTGGTTTAAACAATTTCAGTGGTGGGATCTCATTCATTTCAGCACTTGGAAATCTCAATTCCTTAGTTCTTTCAAATAATAAATTTAGTGGTCAAATCCCACCATCACTTTCAAGTCTTGAGCATCTTGAGGAGTTAGATCTTTCAGTAAATCATTTTAGTGGTGAAATACCAAATGCGTTTGGAAAGCTCAGCAAATTAGATACTTTATTCCTTAATAATAATAATTTTAGTGCTCAAATCCCCTTATCCCTTTCAAATACAAGTGTTACACTTCTTGATCTTAGCTTCAACATGTTAGAAGGGAACCTCCCAATTCCATTCTTCGGAGCTCAATTTTTTTCAGTCTCGAACAATAAGTTTGAGGGAGATATTTCCCTTCTGTTTTGCAATGCAAGTTCACTTGGGATACTCAACTTGTCTCACAACAACTTGTCAGGCCCTATTCCAAAATGTCTTCTTGCCCTCCAGAATCTCTATGTTCTAGATCTACAAATGAATAGTTTTTTTGGAAATTTACCAAACCATTTTTCAAAGAGTAATGTCTTTCAAACTGTGCATTTCAATAGCAATCGATTCAAGGGATCATTGCCTCTATCTTTGGCTCATTGCAATCAGCTAGAAATTTTTGATGTTGGACAAAATGAGATTGAGGATGTGTTTCCTAGTTGGCTTGAAAGTTTCCCAGAGTTACAAGTGCTTGTTTTAAGAGAGAATAGGCTTTATGGGGTCATTCCTAGTTCCAATACCAAGCATCCATTTCCTAACTTAAGGATTTTTGACATTTCCAACAACCACTTCAGTGGATCATTGCCGACAACATACATCAAGGAGTTTAAAGGAATGATGAAAATTATTAATGTTGAAGCTGGTTCTCTATACATGGAAAATAAAAATTATTCATCAATGTATAAGGATTCAGTGATGGTCACATTGAAAGGAAATACCATAGAGCTGGAAAGGATCTTGAAAATATTTACCTCAATGGACTTGTCAAATAATCGATTTGATGGGGAGATTCCAGAAACCATTGGAGAGCTACGTACACTGATAGGGCTAAACCTCTCCCACAATAGAATCACCGGTTCTATTCCAAAATCAATGGGAAATTTGACAAGTCTAGAATGGTTAGATCTGTCATGCAATAGGCTTGTGGGTGGGATTCCACGAGAATTGACGAATCTCAACTTTCTTGCTGTTTTGAACCTTTCAGAAAATCAACTTAAAGGGAACATACCAAGAGGTAAGCAATTTGATACATTCCAAAATGATTCGTATAAGGGAAATGTAGGATTGTGTGGTGTTCCATTGACAAAAACTTGCAATAAGGATGAATCTTCATCAACCTTTGAATCTGATGAGAAATTTGGATTTGATTGGAAACCAGTAGCCTTGGGATATGGATGTGGGATGGTATTTGGAATACTCATGGGATATATTGTATTCTTAATTAGGAAACCTCGTTGGCTTGTTAGAATTTTTGGGGGTCAATCTAAGAAAAAATCAAAAAGGACAAGGAGGGCTCATGCAAATTGAAGAAGATGAAGCAGCTAGAGATTCGGGCTTTGGATGCCATGATGGTTTCTTTCTCATTTTCTTTTGTTCTTTGTTTGGCTTGTGCCTTGTTGAAACATGTTAGTTAAGTATTGTAGCAACAATGAGATATGTGTAATGTATGTGCTTTCTTTTAAATGTAATGGCCTGAATATTTTGTTTATGTAATCCAAGTGATTTGAAGGTGAATATAATGAAGTATAATTTGAGGTGAAAGGGAATTGTTTTCCATGTTAGCACATTTTGGCACATATGAGCAGCTCGTTTATTTGTCTATGTTTTTGTCCGCTCTTTTGAACTATCAAATTGAATGACACTATTCAAATTAATTTCAGTTTTTTCAATGATAATTTTAAAGTCGTCATAGCATCAGACATTGCTATTCAAATTACAATATGACACATGTGATGTCGTTATACATATTTGTTAATTTTTAAGTTGTTCATGCGTTTTCAATTATTCTAAGTCAAGTGGAGAAAGTCTTCAGTTTTCAATGCTATTCAAAATGCAATATCACTCATCATTTTCCGTTTTGTCACATGGAACACTCAATTGTCCAATGTCATAAACTCGAAGCTACAAAAATAATAACAATGGAGTAAATCAATTATGAATTAGAAAATAATGGTGCTTCATGTTCCATCAATCATTAATCATGCATGTAAATCAATTGCAATTGATAGATTATAAACATCAAAAACCAAATCAAATATGCTCTATTAATGATTTTAAAAATTAAATTAAATATCAAGAAAAAATCATTGAGAGGGAGTAAAATATATCATTACAGTAACGAGTAAAGGAAAAAAAAAAAAACTGTTTTGCTGAAGAGGGGAATCCATCCCTCAAGCATTAATCAAACTGAAATATGTAATTGTAAAAAATTTGATATAAACAAAAGAAACTCGAATCTAGAACCTTCCTTTTGATCGTGCTTACTGCTTAGTGATCTTTGCTCTAAAGCTCAATCAATTTTGTCAGCATATTGTGAGTTGTAACCGTGCCATGCAATGCATACTATACCGTGCAAAAGGACAAGGATATAAAAAAAAACTGAAGCAAGAATAATAATAATAATAATAATAATAATAATAATAATAATCATCATCATCATCATCATCATCATCATCATCATGAAATACACTGAAGGACTAAATCAAGCCTAAACCCTAAATCAATTATGCAATGCAGCCTGCATCTTTTATGTCTCATTCAGATTCCATAAATTTTTTTGCTAAATATACCATTCTATTTCTCCAAATGATTATTATGAAGAATCAACCAAAAAAATTATAAGAGAACTGATTTGGCAAGTGGAAATATAACATTAATGTGCAAGAATCTATAGTAAAATATCTAATCCATGTAGAAAGAGCCACTTGAACAAAATAGATTGCACATACACTTCAAAACCACAACACACTAAAGTTAAATTTGTTATTTGTAATTGCAACTTTCAAGGAACATAATTCATTCACTTGATAGTCACATTTAGGAAATAGTTCAGAAATCAAGTTAGCTTTGTCTTGCATCTGCAAAGAGCACAAACATGATGAAGCCACGATTAAAAAAAAAGAAGGTATAATGAATAAATGTACACATCCATGAAATCCAATACATATTGCTGAGTGACAGCCAACGCTTGCAGTTTATGGGTTTAAGAACGTCATAGCAAAAACACCACTATCTTATTCTCAATGAGTTTTAGAGTCAAGTTTTAACAGTAAATGCATATGGAGATTATCTATATTTTTCTTTTTCAAGTGTATGCATAGCAACAACAATGTCCATGTTTACAGAACAAAAAATCTCCATTGTCACCATGTTGTTATGATACCATTAATTAATTATTAGCCCAGTGTCATTACAGTTCTTTCCGATCTAAAATTATTTTCAAATCAGTTCCTTGGTCATGCAGTGATATTTCCAAATTTTTGGGGCCTTGTTTGATATTAAATACGCTCAGCAGTCCTTGAATGATATTTCCTAGATTTAAATTTAAAATAGAGTAAATTGACTCTGCAATTTTATTATTAATTGAATGTTAAGTAACTAGTGACTCTCATGACAATGAGATCATCCAATCGAGGCGGGTAAAGTAATAAATTCTTTCCTTCTACGTTTTCGTTCTAGAGGCAGGGACTTAAAAACCAGACTGGAGATAAATTTGCATGCAAAAAGGCGAAAATAACCCTTGCTTATTTAGTAGTGCGGAGCTCCAGATTTGCACACCTCGATATCTGAATTATGAAGTTTATAAGGAGGAGTCTTCTAAGACTTGCTTCTGTTGATCCAAGTCAATAATAGAAACAACACAGTTTTTAGGGGCTTATTTGATTTTTTTTATTGGTTTTTATGTTCTAAAAATAATTCTATGGAGTACTTTTTAAACAAGTTTTGAAAACACAAAAAAAATGCTTGAATTGTTATTTTAAGAAACATATCTAAATTGGTGGAATGAAGAGTGAAAAAATAATGCTTCGTTTGGTACGAAGGAAAAGTTTTTTATGAAAGTGGAAGTGGAAATAAAGATGAAAGTAAGATTTAAAAGTATGTTCTATATGCAGGTGGAATTGGATAAAAATTTTATTTACTATTATATTTATATTCTGAAAAGACTAAAATACCCATGAAACATACAAAAAGAAAGGGACAATTATATTAAAGTCTTGTCAATACAGTTTAGTTCAGTTGTCAATACACCTTGCGGTAATTAATTCCCTTGTGTGGGACCTAACTATAAATCTCCCAAAAAGAAATTGACTCACCATATTTCAAAACCACCCTCCACTCCACTAGATCTCTAAACCATCATCCCACCACCCCTATCATCACCAGAAATTGTCCAAAAATCAAGCATATCATATTTAAATGGATATAGCAATAGATGCAGAAATCAAGAGTACAAAGCAAAGTCAAAAATCAATTTCAACATTTTCCCAACCACCACAATCGAATGTGAGAGAAAGCAACATTGAAAAACAAAAGCTCAAAAAAGAAAAATGAACAAAGCAAAGGATTGAAGGATGAGAGTGATGATAAGAGAGAGAGAGAGAGAGAGAGATAAGCAACAATAGTAACAATGATACTAAACACAGAGGTATGTCATTGTCATTGCTAGGGAAGAATCATTATTAGTGGTCGCTCAACACTGCTAGTGGGGAATTGTTGGAGGAGATGAGAATCATCATGGTCCTTGATGCTGCTGGTGGTGAATCGCCACCCGCTATAGGTAGGGAATCGTTGGAAGAGATGAGAATCATTGTGGTCCCTCGACGCTGCTGTGGTGAATTGCCACCGCCGCTTTTAGAGAGTCACCATCGCTGTCATTGGTGGAGGACATGTGGGGGTTGGTGGGGTGTAGTGAGCAGTTAGCATATATCATGGGAGACAGAGGAGAATGATATGGTAAGGGCAAAGGGGTCCAATAGAGATATGGAACCCGTTTCCATTGGGTGAGGCAAGGAACCCACTTCCGTGATTTTTTATGGAAGTGGGTTCTCTAGAGAATTGGCTTCCATTGAAACACAAAAAATTACTGATTTCACTTCCACTTCCATTTCTCTCACTCTAATTCCATGATGCCAAATGAGTCATAAGTTATTTTATCAATTTAATTATCATTAATAAAAACATATTTTTGGTTTGTTCTCTATTTTTGCAGAATAACAGGTAACAGAACATCTTAAAGATATTCTAGTTTTTTTAGTGTTTCAAAACAATTTTTAATTTTTTCAGAACAAATAACAGAAAAAAGATTTAATTTTTTTTTCATTTTTTTTGTTTTCAAAACCCAAAAAAACCTGTTCTGAAAACAAGTAATCAAACAAGCCTTACATTCCCCCCCAAATTGTTCCAAATCGTGCAAGGTTTTTTATAATACAAGAGAAGGTAAAGCCTTGGAAGTGAGATAAAAATAAAATTAATCCATGGGGGTTATTTATGCATGGGCTCATTCTTCAGTATTTTAAAAGAATTAAATAAATTAAATATGGTTGTCCCGCAAACTCTGCATTTCAACAACAACCAATTCAAGGGATCATTGCCTATATCTTTAGGGTCATTGTACTTAGCTAGAAATTTTTTATGTTGGACAGAATGAGATAAAGGATACATTTCCTTGTTGGCTTGGTGCTTTACAAGAGTTGCAAGTGCTTGTTTTAAGTGAAATAAGTTCTATGGGGCTATTCCTAGTTCCAATACAAAGCATCTAACTTAAGGATTTTTGACATTTCCAACAACCACTTTAGTGGATCTTTGCCAACAACATTCATCAAAGAGTCTAAAGGAATGAAGAAAATAGATGATGTTGAAGATGGTTCAGAATATATGGTAAGTAAAAATTATTCATATGAGGACTCAGTAGTGATCACGTGGAAAGGTTACACCATGGAGTTGGAAAGGATCTTGACAATATTCACCACCATTGACTTGTCAAATAATAGATTTGTTGGGGGGATTCCAAATGCCATTGGAGAGCTACATGCACTAATAGGGCTAAACCTCTCCCACAATAGAATCACTCATTCTATTCCAAAATCAATGGGGAATTTGACAAGTTTAGAATAGTTAGATCTATCATGTAACAAGCTTGTGGGTGAGATTCCTCAAGAATTGACAAATCTCAACTTTCTTGCTGTTTTGAACCTTTCACAAAATTAGCTTGAGGGGAACATACCAAGAGGTAAACTATTTGATACATTCCAAAGTGATTCATATGAGGGAAATGTAGGATTTTGTGGTGTTCCTTGTCAAAAGCTTGCTATACGGATGGATCTTCATCAACTTTTGAATCTAATGAGAAATTTGGATTTGAATGGAAACCAGTAGCCTTGGGATATGGATGTGGAATGGTATTTGGAATCATGATGGGATATTTTGAAGTCAACCTGTGAAACAAGCAAAAAGGACAAGAATGAGGGCCCATGCAGATTGAAGAATGAAGGAGCTAGAGATCGATTTAGGCTTTGAATGTTGTTATGGTTTCTTTGTCATCCTTGCTTTTTAATTCTTTGTTTGACTTGTTGTATCATGGCAGTTAAGTGTTGTAGCCACAATAATATCAGTGTCTGAATATTTTTCTATGTAATCTAAGCGATTTGTTATCACTACTTTTTTTTGAAGGTGAATGTAATGAAGTTTAGTTTGAGGCCAATCAAAATTGTTTTCCATGTTAATTAGCACATTTGCCACATATAAGCAAC